ATTTGATTAATTATTTTTATTGATTTATGGACGCGGCGTAAATCAATACAGATTTAAATGGAATTTATTTAGCTTTCGACAAACGGATGTTTATGAACATCGTCATACATTCATACTAGGTGTAACTAAAGTGACTTATTTTTTTTGCAATTACTTAAAGATTTGTTTTTATTTATTATCCATTCTTACCAAATCATAATACGTCTATAAATCTGTACTGTTTTTATGTACAAATTTTAACTACAAACCCTTACAATCAATCAGTAACTAACTTAAAAAATCCTTTCTATTATCATAAACTCTCAAAAAATAATAAAAAGTTCTAAATTCAAATCTTCCGTTCCATAAATCCAATTTCGCGCCATTCGCCATTTGGCGGGCGTCATCATCAATCAATTTTTTAAAAGTTTTAATCGAATCAATTCAAAGGGCGTTCGCCCAGGTGTAAAATGTTACTAACGTAAGCAAAAACAATGTAAAAATAGAACGAATGAATGGAATGGTTTTGACCAAGACCTCGGAATGAAGGCTCAATGAATACATCGACCGTATGTCTAGACGAACTTGAAGGCAACGGAACACGGAAGAAAAAAAATGAATCATCCATATTTTTATGTTGCAAGTTTGTTAAGAAAATTATTACATCCTCTTTTCAATGAAATGTAACGTTTGTAAACGTAACGTCATGAATATTAATACACCCAAAGGGGTAGGCAGAGGTCTGAATGAACCATGTCTTATCAAATTACTTTAATGTATCTATAGTGTGTACAGAGTAGTTTAATTTTTTTTAATATAATGTGTTCCAACTACAGGCCTTTTAGGCCCAGTGAAGTGCAACACCAAATTTTCACCAGTTATGACCCCCATGTAGGAGGACGTAGGAAAGCCTTTTACAATACACTAGGGACATTTCGATTGAACTTTCAGGAAAAATATTTCGAAAAACTAAATAAAAAACAACAATAGATTACTCCCTCGAGAATCGTGCCAGCTCTTTGATTGGCCGTTGTGCTTGCAATCACTACCAACGAGGAGGTATTTAGTCATTGAGGAAAAATGACATCTGATTTTAAATTTGGAATCTACACTATTGAATCAGTGTTTTAAAGTTTAATCCGCCTACGAAATATCGTCACAAACTTACGAAAATCTATGACTGTACCGCCATGATTACTGAATATAATTATAGTTCGGTTAAACTTTAGAATAACCTGCGACCGCTAAAAATACTTAGCGCTAGGCTTTATTCATAAAAGAAAATACATCAATTCTCTACGTGAGAAATGTTCATGAATAATTTCTCAGAATTTTGCCTCGTAAACAACCAATGACAAATATTTCGTTGTTTGTTCTATCTAAATATGTAGAATTCGAATAATTAGGTTTGTAGAAGACATTTTATTTTTATTGTTTTCTTTGATTTCGTTTTTTCGTACTTGTCTTTTATTGACTACTAGCTACTTGCGCGCGGTTTCACAAGCTCTGCTCGGCTCCTATCGGTCGTAGCGAGATGTTTTATAGCCTCTAATTTGTATAGCCTTCTTCAATAAATGGACTATCCAATACAAAAACAATTATTCAATTCCAATCAGTAGTTTCGGAAATTAGCGCGTTCAAACAAACAAACAAACAAACTTCTTCAGCTTTATAATATTAGTATAGATATTCCTTGAAATTTTTTTAAATATGAAATAGTAAACAAGTTTAACCGAATTAAAAAACTTCAAATACATATTATTATAGCTTCAGATATTTGAACTAGTAACAAATTAATGAGACGTTTCCGTTACGTTTCAAATTTCGAACGAGACTGATGTATGTGGATGGAATGAAAAATATTTCCATGAGAAAGAAACAAATATGGAAAGTGGTGGTTTTAAATAATTAGTACCTACCTATAGCATATTAATGTTTTTAATTTTGTAATTGAGAAGGTAAAACTACATATATTAAAGAAGATGAAAACCACTTTTTCCTAATCAAGTACGTTATGATTAATACTTAACTACATCATCATCATCAACAGCTGGAAGATGTCCATTGCTGTACAAAGGCCTTCCCCCCTTAGTCCTCCACTTTAAACGACAACTCGCCACCTGTATCCACTGGTTAGTTAATTCTACTTACCTACAGTGTGAACCAATTATCCAAGTTTCAGGAAATGCGGACGGCGAGCATGGGTGGCTCCCCGTCCGACCAGAAACAGACCCGAACGTACCTCAAAGAGTCATCAGACCACCACAGATGGGGCCCAACAGGGCCGATGCCGACTCGGAGTCGCGAAGAACCTAACGGGTTACCGACTTACCGGGGCTCCGGCTCGACGGGCAGGAGAAGGAGTGGGGTGGTTTTTAGTCAGTGTCTGACACTCCCTCCCGCCTCACCCAGGCAGGAGTAGTCATTCGATGATTGACCCCCTTAAAAAAAAAAGTTTCAAGAAATTCAAAGAATGAACAACCACAATGCGTAAACTTTTCTACCAATTTACCTAACTTGCCCAACGATATTACCCATTTTACGAAACTTTTAACTTATAAGAACGACTAAGTACTTTCCCTCAAGTTACAACTTAATTTAAAAATAAACAACAGAGTTAAGAATTAAAGGCGTAAAGACACATCAATACAGCTGTCAAAGCGTATACGCTTTTAGTAGAAAAACTACGGAGAATTATGTTAAAATAAATATTGTCTTTGAAGTTCGTTACGTGGAACTGTTGTTCTAGCTAATAGATCTCTGATGTTGGTGATTTTGCCAATATAGTTATTTGATACTAATTTAAGTATGTAAGTTCAATTTCTATTGAACAATCTGGACGCCCGTTCACCTGCAAATAAGTGTAAAATGCAACACTGTACACCCCTGTGTACAGTGTTATATGACTAAATATCACCCTTGATATTTAGTCATATTAGGTTCAGGAAACTTACCCTCGGTTTTGCCAGGCGAAGGATAATTTCACACAATTTCAGACACCGTGCTATAACTGAGATTTAAAAAAAAACAGTATGTACTTTGCCCCACCCGGGAATCGAAACCGAGACTCCTTACCCTGCAGTTACACTTGCGATCATTCGGCCAGCGAGAAACAAATATGATATTTTAATTATTTCATTAGGATAACATTAAAGGTGTTAATGGTTTCAGTAGATAGACGATAAAGCAAAAGAACTTATGTTCACATGCAGAGAACAATGATTAATTATGAATTCATTTTCATAACTTTGAAGTTGCGTTAATTATTCATTGTGACTACCATTAAAACACAACCCTATTTCATCAACACTAAGTATCAAAATCACATTTCCAACATCCTTTCCTAGGAAATCTCTTCTCGCTTCATTGCTCAACAAATAAATATCTTCATCAATTTCCTTCTATATTATTAGATGCATTCAATGTCTGTCGGTCTGTCAATCATTCATAGAACTGTTTTATTTGTACAGTTAAAGATGGATATGATACAGACGCCTTGGAAAAATAGACTTTAAGTCTAGGCCTAAAATAATTCGGAATCGTGAAAAAAAAGTATAAATACTAACAGATAAATTTAGACGACTTCTTAATGAAAAAAATAGAAATGTCTAATCTTTTAGTCATAGTTCTTTTTGGTCCGAAATTGATAAAAATTGCGCAATTTTTAAATTGAGCAGTCTTTTGTCACATAATTTATCATTAGCTCGCTTTGTACGCACACGCGATTATTTATTCGCGCCCTATCTAAACAATATGTCGAGTTAACGATGAACATCAATAATATTAATCTATGTCAACGCATCAATTATACCGCCAACCAGTGTGCGCTACACAAACATTGAAGCTTAATTATGCATTTATAGGGTCTGTATGAACTGATTGTGCCCATATTACGTGTAATTGACGTGCTAACATGACAGATATCCCTATTTGATCAAATATTCATATGTTGCGATCAACCAACGTATCACTTACAAGCAGGGAAGGATACCAGCGGATCTAGGATAGGAAAACGCGCGGTTTCAAGTCGCCATAGTTCGGAAACGCCGCCCGCGCACCTGCCCTCTCCGTCACTCTTCCAAATTTAAATCCCAAACTCCCCCCACCGTCCCGAGCGGCTAAACATTCTGGAATAATTCCTGCGATTCGGCCACCGTTGCTCGCCATTCGAATTCGGGTCGCGACCGCGTCCGGTGATATCGTATCTTCTTAAAGAACAACCCCGACTAGTGCCATGGCCGACGTTGACGTCCAAGTCCAGTATACCACCACAGAGCGCAAAACCAGGAAGGTCAAGAAGACCTCCAAGCGCAGGGAGTCTAAGGATGGGGAAGTCACCGTCACGGAAGTCGAGCAGACCAACACCACCACCAACGACGATGGGTATGTGTAGTGGTGGCCAACCTCCCTTGACCCGTGCAGTGACGCCCGCGCTAGTGTGTTCGTGTCAGCCAAGTGTCGATTACCGATCGCGTTCCTCCCTCGAGTGACATGCTCGCTGTGTACATTGTTTATGTTATGCACTCCGTTAGGCGTCTTTTGGCCACCCTCACATACCCGACCTAATTGAAGGTACTTATCGGATGTTTTGGGATTTTTATTTTACAGAAACCTTATGTTTTAATACTAATCGTAACCATCGCTTGCATCATTATAGACTGACGTATTTGAAATGATTAGGAAAATTATAAGTATGCACTAAAACCGAAAGAAATGAATTACAATACTGTCTTTGAGAATTTTCTGACAAGAAGTTACTTTTTACCCATTACTAACATACATAAAACTAAACTCCAGATAGGTATATATTAATTAATTAACTTGTTCGATATGTATTAAACTCTAGAAAGTTTGCCTCAAAACATTACTCATCGTATAGTCTTAGTCTTGTCAATGGAAAACAAAGAAAATGTTACATACTACATACTACTATTCAGAATACAAAATTATTGGGCAAATATTAGATTGTAAGCACTAATTTGTAATTGACTCGATGCTAACCAGGCTTTCGTTTTTCTCAGCTTATTTTCAGTGGCGAATACACCAAGGCGATGAACAAGGACTGGCACAGCGGTCACTTCTGCTGCTGGCAGTGCGACGAGTCGCTGACTGGCCAGCGCTACGTCCTCAGGGATGAGCACCCCTACTGCATCAAGTGCTACGAAAGCGTCTTCGCCAACGGCTGCGAAGAATGCAACAAAACCATCGGCATCGATTCTAAGGTTAGTTCCATAAGCTTCATTTTTGATCGTCTATGCAATAGAGACAAAATATTATGCAATTACTTTGTCACAAAATACTAACTTCTCTTTGTCGAGATTTAGATCATCATTTGTCTCTGACATCGAGTAAAATTTCATTACTTGTAAGGCAAAGATACATTGTATTTGTTTTGTCACAAGATATCTACGATTTAGAATCTAAAATAGTACTTAAAGCATCACGAAGTGCTGAAACGAGTGCTATTTTCAGTAGATAAATAATAGCTTCGAGAAAGATAATCTTACTCTTAAACTAAACAACAGACGAAAATTGGCAGGAATCTTAGATGGCGGTAGATAGATAAATAATATAATCCACCGTAAACAAATTTATTGTCTAGCTGTTATAGGTCGTAAATGACATTTTGTGTTATTTATTGGCAACAAACAAATCCACGCCCATATGCTTTTGGTAACAGAGTTTCATTGAAATTATCATTGACACAGAATTCTCTGCGAATTGTATGCGTGGTATGAATAGGATTAGTATCCACGGCATTCGTCAGCTTTGTTTCACCGATCAAATTTAGTAATGTCACTCCAGCCGGCCCAGATTCTTCGGGCGCACCTCTGCACACGGCCCCAGGCAGACCGCTGCCAAGCCAACATAACGTTAACGTTACGCCAAACATTATACATTTATCTCGACGAGCTACCAATGACTTTTCCCGTCTACACACAGCTGCAAACGCTACTTCTGTTTGCATGAACCAATTGTTATAATACACTCATGATAAATCATATGAAATATTACCCCCAGGCACTGCCTCAAGAACATTTGTGCATTACAGGCGCCAATTTCATTACACATAATTCGATTTAGAGAAAATACTAAAGGAAACATGACAAATGAAAGTAGGTATTCTATTACTGATAAATAGAAGTTTAGACAATGTCAAGCAGTGGATGATAAATTAGAACCCCTTGATGCTATTTATTGCGGCAGTCAAGAACACATTAGCGCTTTGTTTACTTATGACGAGCGCCCACCGGCAATATTGTTAGCATTACATCCAACTGTTTGCCGCCGTGGACGAGACTTTAACAAATTGACGATCGCTTACAGAAAACAAATCGCGCGTTAGCACAAACTAAACTATTTCTGGGTCGGATACAGTGTTCTGATGTTTTCGTTTAGCTCCAACCTTGAAAACTTTGGATGGATCCGTCAGACGATTCTTTTAAGATTTACGCGATCCAAGAAGCTCTAAGAGTTTCGTAATCGGCCAAAATAAACATTCATATTTTATTGACATTACGACATTCAGTTTTAAATGTACGTTCTGTCGGTCCTCGCACCGCGGCCAGGAATAGAATCCAGAATGAGGAGAGATTTATTTTGAAACTTGAACTAAACACGTCAAATGCAACGTGAGAGAATGTATTTGAGTTTTTCATTAAACACGAAAGCTGTGACCCGAAAGATGAAGATATTTGTGGCGTATGAACTAAGGTTTTAGGTTAAGCTCGTTGTTTGGTCAGTGAACTTGATAAGTAGTAAATAGGATTGCAGTCGAGTGTTTATATGAAATGGAAAATGTATGTTTATGAATCATGAACCGAAATAGCTTCGTGTACGGTGGCTGGTATTTCCAGCAATTGAGATGTGGGTTTTGTTATACAATTTAGGGGCAAATCTTAGGAATGACAGCTGAAGTTAATGTTCTCCTTATAAGTATGTTCTCTGTTACAATTGATTGTTCTCGTTAATCTACCGGCAAGTTGAAGTTAATAATTACCGCCCACGTTTAGTAGTCGACATCTGTCGTAGGAGCCAGTTGTTGTTTTTTGCGCACAATTTGTATGGTTTTTCCATCTCATTGAAGAAGACGTGATGTAAGGACCCCTGATTAATGTCTTCCACGTCGGATTTGAACATATTAATTATTGTTTTCGTGTTCGGAGCGATATATTTTTTTTCTAAATCGCACCTTTATTTAAATTCAATTCTGTCATAGCTATTCATAGTGTTTTTTAAATATTTATCGTGAGCCTCACCATTATTTTAGTTTGTTCGATGTCACTTATTTAAATTGAATAACAATGTTTATGTTAATATTTGAACCACGTCGTCACAATAACAATAGCGAGTTTACATCAGATTAAAGTATTTATAAATCGTAGTAAATTGTCTTTGGGAGCTTTTGAAACAGAACAATGTTTGTTATAAACGACTTTTGAATACGATTTTACATACATGACATACTATTTCTACCCCTCGTTGGCCGAATGGTCGCAACTGCGACTGCCGGGCCTGGCCTGCCTGGTCTTGGGTTCGATTCCCGAGTCGGGCAAAATATTACTGGGTTTTTAAAAAAAAACTTAGTAGTAGCACGGAGCCTGGAATTGTGCCAGGTATATGGCAATAGGCTTACTCCTTATTACATGGGACTCATAACATAGGTAAATAGTAAAAAGTGGGTGTTACGTTGTACAATGGCATTAAGTGCTGTAATATGCACCTCTGCCTATCCCTTCGGGGATAAAAGGCGTGATGATGATTATTTGTACCCCTATATCCTCATACCTCTCACTCATACTCAATTCTTCTTCCCAGGACCTGTCGTACAAAGACAAGCACTGGCATGAAGCCTGCTTCCTCTGCGCCAAGTGCCGCGTCTCCCTGGTAGACAAGCAGTTCGGCTCCAAGCTCGACAAGATCTACTGCGGCAACTGTTATGATGCCCAGTTCGCCAGCCGTTGTGATGGCTGTGGCGAGGTGTTCCGCGCTGGTAAGTACCTACTAATTTTAAAGTATTTTGGACTAAGGACCAGATTTGGTCCTAAGGTACGTGAAAGGGTTGATGTTGAATTGTGTTGCGTTAGGGAAAATTAGTATCTAGGATGTTTATAATGATATATAAAGGATACATTATACATGTTTATTATCTAAGTTAGTATCTAAGGTACAATATTTGACACGTCCACATTTAAAGAAACATTTTTTAATAAATTCCGCATTGCTTAGTTGGTTACTCCGTGTAGGAAATAGGTACCGTAAGAAAATCTGTTCGTATGGTGTTCTACTAGTAAAACACTAAGTATAAAATGTAAGTACTAGTTTTAATGACTAAAGTGCACCATAGTTTAGCAAATGAGTGATAAAAAGGGATATCGATGAAAAATAGTACGACAGTTCATTAAAATTCTGTAGTTATTCTAAAGGCGTTTATGTTTTTACGATGTGCAACTGACATTCGACCTTAAGGTCGTAAAGTAATTTTATAGTCGACCGTATAATTTGAAATTATGCATAGAGTTTAAAATGTGTAGTCATACAACAGATGTTATTGCTTTAATTGGTCGTTAAATGTTAAAAGAAACATCTTAATTATATTCATTTAATCTTAATTCATTAATGTGAAAGTTCGGAAACATTTATTTTTGTCTCAAAGACTTAACAACTTTTGATCAAATTTAAAATGATTTGGCATAAAGATATAATCCATCTATGTTTATAAATACTCAATACTTTTCATATCTTTGTTGAAAAGTATTGTACAAGTGCATAAAGCAGTTCGTTTTTTTTATGTAGATACCATAAACATTTCACTTGACGTCAAACCCTGGTCTTTTTATACGGGAGCTTTAATAACATAATTTACACGATACGTATATTGATATATCGCTTATTAAGGTGCTACATATCCTCTATATTTTATAGCTAATCGCATATGACTTACGAGCCGATCAACACTACACACTGGAGTCGTGTGTGGCAAGCTTTACGATTTATTCTTTTTAATTCCCCGAGTGATTTCACCGCTGGCCATCTGGCAGATACCAGTTTTTTGTTGTTATTTTTTTAAAAGCTTCGTAATGTATCGTTTTGTGTAATGTTATACAATAACATTTAAATGTTATTGAAATAAGATTGGCACATTATGATAAGTATTTGTGGATATTTGAAATGCTGTGTTAAAAGCAAGTTTTGAACAATGACAAATGAGAGACATGTATATTTAAGTTCATATTACATCCATCTGGAAATCAAAAGGCGAATTACACACCAACACGTAATCAAAAAACAATATCAACAATTATTTTAAATTTCAAATAGAAAATACGTGTTTTCATTTTGTTTAAGCTAGGTTCAAAACAAAAAAAAAACAAATATAAGATTAATAATCTGTGCCAACCATAAATCAGCAAATCTCCCCAACAGTATAGTTTACAAGTTCAAGTTGTCGTCAGTAGATACCGTAGAAGGCTCGTCATTACCCGCCCTCGTTATGGTAGTGTAAGGTAAAGATAAAAAAAAACAGCCACTGTCAATGCCACAACCTCGGAACGCTTCCATGTTCATAAGTGGAAATGAAATTTTCGAATTTCAAAATGGCGGCTGAAGTTCGCGCTATTTTTAAAAGTTGATTTTTTGGAACATCTGGTCGTGTGCTGTGTTCAGTGTTGCTTTAGTTTGGTTACCTTGTTGAGTGTAGATTTTGGTTTATTTATTAATGCAGTGATTAATAAGGGATTTTTTGAGAGTAATAGGAATCGATTTGAAGAAAATATTCTCAAACTTGTTTTTGTTTAATGATCTTAAATTACTGAAATACGAAAATGTTTTCTTAACTTTTCTTTTCAAAGTTCATGGTAAACGCCATGAGATGGCTCTTATTTGGATTTACCAAGACTTTACTCTCTTTTCACATGTGAAATGTTCCTTTCTACATTTTCCAAGCAAAACAGTAACGACTCTCATTGAAATCTCTATGATCTTAAACTTTGTAACATACAAATCATTTGACTTTCTTACAAAGCGAACACATAATAAGCCGAGTCTAATCTCAAATTGACCCATTCATTTGAACGAAAACAAGTTGTAAATTGAAAGGTTACATGGCAATTACCAGCACATTACATGGTAATGATGCCATACAAAAACCGCGTACGGATTCCCATAATAGGGAAGAGGGCGCCAATTTTCTGCCATGATTAATATTAGGTACATAGTAACTATTACAAATAACAGTGATTTGATACATTCCGAGAATATAACAGTCGGTACTGGTATTTTTGTTGCGTTTCCTAGTATTTGTAAGATGACATAGCTGAATTGTTTGGTCATTACGTTCTCACTAAATAATAACACTGTTCCAAATATTTATGCCTTTAAGAATTTATTAAATCAATGGATTTACACACTTATAGTTAGAACATTAAAGCTTAAATTCTTTTCTAAATCACAAGAGCGTCTGTATTGCTCTCAATATTTGCTTTTAGCAGAAAATCCGCTACTGTAATACGAAATATTGACCTCAAAATATGTAGAACAGTTCGATGTAATCTAAATTACATCCAATTTTTCTAAGTAACATTATGATTAATATAAATTCGTAGTGAAGTGAAAATTAATATCATCCTTAACACTAACGGCACTGTAATGAGGTACAAGTTATTTTTTTGCACAAAATTAATGTACAATGACTCCCACACTGTTCCTAAATAACGATGACGCGACACTCAAGTATCGGATGGTATTCGTGTAGTAGGTGACTTTAATACGGTAATGATTTTCGGTACTTACTACCTACTGCTAATATTTGAATATGTTATTTTTTTAGATACACTAGATTTGAAACTGTATTTTATTCTTCCTAAATGCTAATATCCTACTTATTTTTTTTTTTTTTTCAATAAACTTTCGAATAAGTAATGGTTCCTTTTACTTCGCCTCTCTGAAATCGAAATTTGTTTACAGTTACTCCGTTATCTAAACGATTGCAACAAATTCTGAATTCGAAATTTGACACTTCACTTTTTTATTTAACAGTCACAGACAAAACAAAATCAGTAGCATTGCTCTGAAAAAAAAGATGGTGAAATATAAACCTCTTTTTACTAAAACACATATTATACAGGTACCTATACATGATAAGTATCTATGTATATACGGACGGGATGACATCATTCATTATGTCAGAGAGTCAATCAAGTACCAAGTCCTCTAAGGAACCTTGATATACAGCTTCTTATGGCCAGTCAACGATCGGATAGTTGCCCGAAGTAGGTACATAAGTATTGTATTACTCGTAACGTTGCCAGTTAACCGCAACTTAGCTATGGCTTCCGATTCCATAGACAACTAGATGATTCAAATTACTCCATAGATTATTTATTGCTAAATAATTGCCAGTGAATAAAAATAAAAGATAATATAAACCGTTTTTCCGAATCGTTCTAGGATGTGGTACCGTTAATTAAAACGGTTCTTCAAAGTTGCCGTTTATTGTAATTTGTAATTATAATGTTATATCCTGGCTTTCATTGCTTATAAGGTTAAGACAGTAATACTTAAATTACCTTTAACAATTTGATTGCAATAGTATAATCGGTAAGGGATAATCTAGAGTTTCCATTCCTGTCAAAAATGTCGACGTCAAAAATGTGATAAGCCGACAATCGACTTGACAAAACATCTTCAGAAAGTCATTAACGTGGCCATAGATATTAAGGAGGTGACATAGATTAATCAATGATACTTAATTTTGATTTAATCCTAATTAATCCTTGTTAACGTAGACATGGCGGCTTAGTTGCAAGCGTAAATGGATAAGCCAATGAAATGATAGTATTATGACCTCATTCTTCTTCGTAATTGGTCAGATATTCGCCGATCGTGGTCTTTTTAAATTTAATACTAATATGACACATGTAAAAGTGTTTGTATTTTAACTTTATAATAAATAATATTACAAACTTAGTTCTATTTTTAGAAACGACACAATATTATGCAATAAGACTTAAGACATACCTACAAGCAGTAGAGTACACTTTTTATTAAAAGTAAAATAATTTTATCAACTTTTTATAAGCTTATAAATTTTCTATAATTTATTTTTGTCCATGACTATTACGATACAAATAGCCTGTCTAAGAAATCAAAACAAAATGACTACTAATGAATTATTCATATATTAAAAGGCGCCTGTCCACAAATCCATTTAATTTCTCCGAACACATAAATTAGAGTCAAAAAACCGTTAATTATTTAAAATTAAAACAGATAGACACATCACTACCCACATGGCTTCTTGAATTGAATAAAAAATATAGTGTTTGTCATTTGTCTATGTGTAGTCACCTAGTTCAAGTTCTATGCTTATTGCGAGTTGCAATCATACTAAATTATTTTCTTTTCGCTCCATTGTTGTATTTTAAATCATTGCCTTTTAACCAAAAAGATTAAATAAAACAAAGTAGAGAAAATGTGCGAAAGATAAGACTCCTGAAAACTTTAATTACTTATATTCTTGTTCACATTTGAAAAAAAAATCTGATAGTTCCATAGACTAGTATAAACTTTCCATCTATATTTTTTATTTTTTACTACATGTGACACTCAGTAAAGGTTGAGTCACACACGTGGGCGGAAAACTCGCGATTTTCTTAATGACAAAATAACATCTATAATCCGGATATATCACTAAAACATAATATAGACATGCTCATCAAGCTACACGAGACTGTAACATTAGATTTTCGACATAACTTGTAAGAAAACAAGGTTGAATTCTTTTAAACAATTATTACAAATTGGTATAGGTTGTAATGCCGTCTGGTCATTTGCGATGGGACTGAACGACCTTGCCATAAGTCCTTATAAGCAACGAATTGAGTGTGAATCATCGAAAACGGGTGTTAATTTTAAAAACTCTGGTTTAAAGGAAATAGTTCTCAGAAGGTCGTACTTGTATGACAGTTGTCGTATATTATCTGAAGTGACTCT